TGTAGTTAAATCAATTTTGCTTGTTTACATCAATCTTTTTCTTGCTGGCAGACAGGAGGGTAGCTGGTCCGTAAATTCATACACACACTTCTATTACTAACACCCCTTGGGGCTACACAGATGCCTTGCATCTGCTCACCTTGGCATTTTCACAGCTAGTTTAACCATAAACTAGCTATTCTACCCCAAAGTATGGGGTTACCTATTTGGTTTGAAGTCAGTATTGAATATTATTGTTAAATTTATATACATGTACATGTATATATGTTTATGTATTAAATGGAATCTATTTCAGGTACAGTTCAAGATTGGTCTGGGAGCTTCGCTCCTCAATCTTACAATCGGAGCTTCGCTCATCCATCAGTACTAACACTCGAGCTTCGCTCACTTCACTGTGATTAGGAGCTTCGCTCCTTTATCAGTACTAACACTCGAGCTTCGCTCATTTCATTCACTCACACTGAGAGCGGCAGCCTTAAGCTGTCTGCCAATTCAGTCATCTATCAAGGATGGGGTTTTCACAATACATCAATTCCCATGTATTGGACATTCAGCCATGTCCCCATTAATGGACTATCATATGACATCTGAATGATACGATTTAGATGGCTAGAAAATAAATTATGGTAAATAGTCGGCGGTAACAAGGAATCATTAAGCATTTGGTCGGCGGTAACAAGTATTTGGTCGGCGGTAATTATATTACAGTCGAAAGTCATTACAATGCGGTCGGCGGTAAAAAGTATTTGGTTGGCGGTAGTCGGCGGTGGTTGGCGGTGGTAAAAAGTACCACCGGCCGAAAATCTAGTATTTTCCGTTTTGGAGCATTTTGAGATGCCATTTTCTCAAAAACGAAAACTAAGTTTTTTCTTAAACTTTTTTTACTCAGAGTCCTATCGGTGGACTATGGCGTGAGTCCAAAAATAAAAGCATTGAAATAATATAAGTGGTCCAAAAAGAACCTCAATCTTGGAAAAAAGTTGAAAAATCCTTAAATTACTGAAAATGATCTTCTAATTTTCTTTCTTTGGAAAACAGCTGAATGGATTATTCTGAAACTTCTTGTACAGAAGGTAAGGTAACCAAACAACTTGTTAAAGCTATCCCGACAATGATATAAAAACCGGAAGTAGTCGAACATAAAAAGTAAAAAAATGGCGATCTTGCGAAAAAACAGATTACTACGCCACATTCCATCGAATCAAAACAACTAAAGTGTCATTGGATAGAATTGGGATACAATTAACGATTAGTATGAGCAGTATCAGGGGCAGTACTGCCCATAAGCGTGTGTGTGTGAATTTTAATTTAACGGCCGTCTCCACCGAAGTGATATCGGCGACAATGACATGCATCTTTAATACATGTCGTACCACAATGTACTTAACGACCCCGTCCACCGAAGTGATATCGCCGACAATGACATGCAACTTTTATACATGTCGTACCGCAATGAACTTAACGACTCCGTCCACCGAAGTGATATCGCCGACAGTGACATGCGACTTTTATACATGTCGTACCGCAATGTACTTAACGACTCCTTCCACCGAAGCGATATCGCCGACAGTGACAAGCGACGTTTATACATGTCGTACCGCAATGAACTTAACGACTCCGTCCACCAAAGTGATATCGCCGACAGTGACAGGCGACTTTTATACATGTCGTACCGCAATGAACTTAACCACTCCGTCCACTGAAGTGATATCGCCGACAGTGACGTGATGAGATTTTAAACTTTTGTGTAAATATGTTTTTATATTTTGTGTTTAGTGATTTAATATATATAACTGATAGGTGAACCTGATAACTGATTGTTTTGAACTTGTGTAATTAAATAAACAAGCCAACAGTGAGGCTGATGTCCCCCGCCGAAATAGCAAAATAATTAGATGACACGTATTAATTAATAGAACATTTATTTTTTTCAAAAGTATCGAACAGTTAAACTATAGACTAAGTTTCATCACTGTCTATCAAATAGAATCAAGATTATGAAACTGATAAGCTCTGCTTGGCTTCAGCTCGAAATGTTAATCATTGAACTTAGTCAAGACATTCACCTAATGAACATCTACATCAAGTTTAAACATTCTACCTCAATTAAAAGCAGAGTTATTATGTTCCAAAGTCTTGACCAATCAATTAAATTGCTTATTGCTCCTTAGCCTTAGCAGAAAATTTTCACCATCGAACTTAGTCAAGGTAATGATATAATGAATCTATATTCGGAGTTTCATCTCTCTCAAAGTTATCATGCCCCAAAGCATCAACCAATCAGATTGCTTATCTCTGCTTACCGTAAGCATACAATGTTCATCATTGAACTCCATCAAGGCATTCACCTAATGAAAGCCTACACCAAGTTTGAACATTCTACATCAATTAGAATGTGAATTATTGTGTTCCAATGTCTCGACCAATCAAATTGCTTATCGCTCTGCTTAGCCTGAGTAGAAAATGCTCATGATTGAACTTAGTCAAGGTATTGATGTAATGAAACTATACACCAAGTTTCATCAATCTCACTTAATTAGAACTAAAGTTATCGTGTCCCAAAGCATCAACCAATCAAATTGCTTATCTCTGCTTACCCTAAGCGGAAAATGCTCATCTTCGAACTCCATCAAGGTATTGACCTAATCAACACATACACCAAGTTTGAACATTCTAGCTCAATTAGGCAGAGAGTTATCGTGCCCCAAAGTATCAACCAATCAAATTGCTTATCTCTGCTTACCCTAAGCGGAAAATGCTCATCTTCGAACTCCATCAAGGCATTGACCTAATAAACACATACACCAAGTTTGAACATTCTAGCTCAATTAAAAGTTATTGTGTCCCAAAGCATCAACCAATCAAATTGCTTATCTCTGCTTACCCTAAGCGGAAAATGCTCATCTTCGAACTCCATCAAGGCATTGACCTAATCAACACATACACCAAGTTTGAACATTCTAGCCCAATTAGGAAGAGAGTTATCGTGTCCCAAAGCATCAACCAATCAAATTGCTTATCTCTGCTTACCCTAAGCGGAAAATGCTCATCTTCGAACTCCATCAAGGCATTGACCTAATAAACACATACACCAAGTTTGAACATTCTAGCTCAATTAGGAAGAGAGTTATTGTGTCCCAAAAAGTGTGACGGACAGACAGACGGACAGACAGACGGACAGACAGACGGGACAGACGGACAGACAGACGGACAGACAGACAGACAGACAGACAGACAGACAGACAGACAGACAGACAGACAGACAGACAGACAGACAGACAGACAGACGAACCCATTTTAATAGTCCCCTGCTTTCTTCGAAAGGCGGGGGACAATAAAGCTGCTAGGTGATACTTATGTGATTATGTTTTGAGCTTGTTATATGTATTTATTGGTAATATACTTAGGTTTTTAACTTCTGAGGTCCCAAATGTTGTGTGAATGATGTGCGAGTGTTGTGTGTGTATTGTAGTATAAACAGTCCCGATTTAATTTATTTGTAGACCTCTACAAATATCCATGTATTATATATAATTAGTAGTCTTGGATATTAAATATTATAATGACACTGTTTGTTTGCCTTTTGTTTTTTGATGAGGAAATACTCGATTTTATTGCGACAAGATATGATTTGCGGTCCTTGCCCGTGTCAATGGGGAGAAACTGTTAACAATTCCCCTCCTGTATTTCTTCAACATTCCCAACAGATGGGGATGCAAAAATAAATGTTGGCCAAAATAGTCCCCCATGGCGTAAATGACGTCAATTTGTAAATTAAATTGCCGAAGCGGGTAAATAACCCAGAGAACAAGATTAGAAGGAACAAGATATACGTTAATTTATTTCGTTGATGTCTACCCTAGTTTAATCCCTGCCGCGAAAATTGTCAATTCATTGTAAATCAACTTTTCCCAACGGACGTCGGCAATACCGAAGAACTGCACGATATTCAACAAATATGCAATTCATTCGAGAATTTTAGACACTATACTCAGATTCTAAATCTGAACATAGTTTCTAAAATTGGGAGATAGAAATTAAATATTTCACACAAAAACAAACGCCGTAAGTTTTCTAGATGGCACTCAAGAAACTAATTAAAAGACATGAAAAGTAAACGGCATTGCATTACTACTCACCCGTTAGTTTCTAGACGGCTCTCGGTAAAGTGGTAATTTGGCGTAAAATCTAAACACCTTAAATAATTAAACACTCTGTTCATTTCTTGACAACGTCCGGGAAAATAAACGCCTTGTCTAAAAACTAAACCCCTTTCAAATCTAAAAGGTAGTGTTCATTTCTAAATTACCACCCGAGAAACTGGACGGTCATAAAGTAGACGATCGATGTCAAAACAAAACGGTGTTTCTTAAACTACACGGTAGCACAAACTGGGCGGTTTTTGGTGAATCTTGACGGCATTTAACACATTCTTGACGGCAATCTATTAGCTGGATATGTGTATTAAATTCTTGAGGATAAGCTTAGTTTCTTTCCTTTTTTCGTCAAGTCTGGACGATACCTGGTCCTAGTGTAGTGGGTCCACAATCTTGATATACCATTGCGTATGAGGGGTGGCCATTTTGTCCGGTAGTTTTGGTTCGATTTTCACGACATTCGAAGTCAACCATCATTATGCTGGAATGTTGATATATTTCAATGTTTTTTAAAATGAGATAAAAAATTGTGACCTCTACAGAATACACAAGACAAGCTAAAAAAACACGATTTTTCGAACAATCAGGGGCCATAATCCAGGAAGTTACGTTTGGATATGTGCAACTATCGAAAGGAACCAAGATCATTGTGATATAAAGGTACCGAAACACTTAATTAACGGAAATTGTTGAAATTAAATTAACAACATATGTAAATTTCAAAAATATTGGACACTAAATGTAGTGTGTAGAGTGTTCACAAGAAATTGTGGATGATGGACGAACAGGGGAGGCGACAATATATGACCACACTTCCATATGGGCATATAAGAGTAATCTTACCTTTCGGTATTCCAACTGTTGTTCCCATTATAAAATCTGTATGAAATGTTTGACAGTACATTTTTATCAACTGTTTTACAGCTACAATTAATTTCTCTAAACTATCTTCTAAATCTTCAACATATGAACACCTTATAGCACAACTGATAGAAAACAGAAAATCATGATTTTAACAGTAAATAATAATGAAAGTATAGATCAGTGTAGTACAGAAATTACATCAATATAAATTGAAAACTGTGTAAACAAGCCTATAGTTTTCTAAAAATAATATACTTAACACACTAACTGTATTGCATCTACTGTATCTTTATCGGTTGATTGACTCTTTTGATCACTGGGTTTCTACAAAAGGCAACAAAAGAATGATAAAAAATCATGGAAATTTCAAACCTTGAAAATCAGAGATAAAACCATATACAGTGGACTCTGTCAAATCCGACATCGTACAGGATAGTTACAATATGTCGGATTACGCAGTTTGTCGGAATACTCAGTTTACTCAAAGCCGGAAATATTATTGTAACTTCGAAAACCGAAAGTAGTATTATAATGTAGCTTCGAATTCCCAGAACATTATTCACTTTAAAAATGATAAACCTTTCTGTACATTCAAAATTTTATTACATTAATCTTTATTTCATTTAACATGCGTAGACATTTTGAATAGGTCAAGTCTGTCGTTAATTTATCTTCTTCATTGTCTTCAGTTGATCTCACACTTGTCTTTGGTGTCACATGTTTATTGATAATCTGTCGTTCTATGTCTAGGTCGTTGTCACACGGTTCGGATAGATCCGTAGGATGAACAAACATAGGTATTCAGGTTCAAAAGAATGTTTCCAACAGGTGCTAGGAATATTTTTACAGCTGTGAATAATTCGTGGGAAAATTCTTGGGTATTCTTGAGTATTTGTCACAACTGTCTTACAAGAGATTATAAAATTATCAAAGTAATCAACAAAGACCTAAGCGAGCGAGTTTTAATCTCATCGATAATTGATTGGTGATTGCTTGTTAATCTTTTGTGGCTTCACACCCACCGATTGAAGACCGGATTATACAGTTTTGATTCAATGGAAATCATGTTACAGGACGGCTGATTGATGTCGTAATTCGGAATATTCAGAGTAAGGATTACTCAAAGATTTTTTGGCTGAAATAATAAGGAAATAAATCGGGACATGAAAATGATGTCAGATTTCACAGAATGCCAGTGTATTCAGAGGTCGGATGTGACAGAGTCCACTGTACATGCAACATTTCAATACTCCTACAGTTATCTTTATCAAGCAATGATCAATAACGAATCCAGCCATACATATATAGTACATATGAGTAAAACAAATCATACAATCAAAACAAACAAAACATAACAACAACTATCAATACCTTTAAACATGACTATCAATTCTATTAAAACCCAGAGAAACCATTGTATAATGCCAGCATGAGTCATGATCTGCTATATGTTACAAGAAATATGAATGTAAGCATATTGTAGTAAAATTTAACTATACAAGTGACCACATAGGTGAAATGTATAAAAAAAAAACAGGTAGTCTAAACCTAAATAGAATCGAGGCATATTGAACACAGTAGGGTTAATGTTCCACCCATCACAAAAACAGAGCAAACCAGTGTCTGCCAGGCAGGATACGCCCACATTTTGCAAGAGATGGATAGAGAACAAGCTAAATACAAACGTGATTTTTTGTACAATCAGGGGCAATAATCCAGAAAGTTATGGCCTGAAATGTGCAAATATCAAAAGGGACAGAGATCTTTGGGATATAAAGATATGTTTTAAGTTTCATCAAAATTGTGACCTCTAGAGGGTCCACAACCTTTGTATTACACACTTCTACACAATATATTGTAACAGTTTTTTAAATCCGATAAAAATTGTGATCTCTACAGGGTCCACAAGCTAAAAACACCATAATCCATGAAGTTACAGTCCGATACATGCCAATATGGTGATAAAACTATATTTCAAGTTTCATTGAAATCGGATAAAAATTGTGACCTAGGTCCACATGTAGGTCCACATGAAAATGTGGGCATATAAAAACAAACAATCGGATATTAACTTTAGCCTCTAGTGCGTCCACAAGATATTTCAAAGATATCAAGGGCCATAACTCTGGCAGTAATTATCGGAAATTGTTGAAAATCAATAGGCTTCTTCATCCCCATGACCGTAACCCATTTTTGACAAGTGCGAATCAGTTCACACCTATCATTTGGTGGTAGCGAATCAACTCGCGGACCCATCATACCTGGCCAAAGCATTAGAGAACAAAAGCGCCAGATCAATCAACTGATTTCTATTGTTTTTATTTCTTAAATTAATGGTGATTGAGTAATAAAAATAAAACACCCAATGAAAAGGAATGTTATATTTGCTAATTATCAAATAAAAAACATACGTCTTAAAAAAGGATCTTCCAGTATTTACGTAATAGGTCAGAGCTGAAAATTCACACCGTGTCAATGACTTTGGCATTATTCAAATATTTTCACGGCTAATAATTTTATGATATGGAGAGTGAAATGGAATCAAGATTTTTTATGATTTACTGCCAGGCATATCGTGGAATTTGATAATGTCGACGAAATTGCCACCATCTTGGATAGGCTTTCAAACAGACGATACCACAAAACTTACAGATAATAATTCTAGACTTTGGAAAGCTAAATTTATTCATAACTTTTAGGATTTGATACAAGCTACATAGAGAAATATTACAATGTCAAAGATTTCAACTATATATTTTTATTTTCGACGCAATGAAGCAAAGAAGATGACAATTCCCGTCATATATCCAAAGAAAGGGAGAAATGTTAAATGCCAATATTTGGGCTGATATTTCTTTTTAAAAGTTATATTTACTTTGAACACTGCTGCCAACATATATCTGTGTTCTATTTTAAAAAAAAAAAAAAAATAAAATAAAATAAAATTCTTAGGGGATACTTGTTCACATTATTTTACCATTATGACAGAGAAAAGTCATCTTGTTCACATTATTTTACCATTATGACAGAGAAAAGTCATAAATTAAGTGGAACTGACTTTTCAATATTCCTTATAGTAATATAATTGCTACTTTGTACAATTGAATTTTATATCATTGTAAAGAACGAATCTATTGTGAGGCATTCACTGGAAGATCAAGGGCCATAACTATGGTAGTAATTATTGGAAATCATTTAAAGTCACTGGGCTTTTTCATCTCGCAACCTTAAAACACTGTATCAATTTTAGCCTCTAGAGCGTCCACAAGATTTTTCAAAGTGATAAAGGGCCATAAATTTGGCAGTAATTATAAATCGCTGAACATCAATAGGCTGCTTCGTCTCATGACCTTAAGCAATGTGTATCAATTTAAAGTCAATCAGATATTAACTTTAGCCTCTAGATAGACAGGGGCGACGACATTTCAATGTGGGCATATAAAAAGAAAAAAAACGTCAATTCCTCTAATAACTCTGTACTCCTTGGCATACATAGAAACTCATAAACAATAGATTATAAATGATAGCTGCTCGGAAAATCTGGGTGAGCTCTGACGAATTTCGATCATCACCCTCTTTTATAACCCACTAGTATATGTACGTCATAGACTGACCTTGGCATTAATTTCCTTCCCAAATATGGAATAAACATTCCCATTCTACGAAACACATGTCATAAACAGGATGACATTTGATGGATATTTTGACAATGGTAAGGATTTAACCAAAATATCACTGTTTTTCATATATAAATTATAAATATATCACTCAAATCATTAAGTACATGTGATTTGACTCTATAGAAAGTGTGAACCAAATAATTAGTTAAAGATACAATATGGTCTGCCCTCTGTTTGCCCCCCCAATAATTTTAGAAAATAAAAAAAAGTATTTGTGATACGTTTCGGTAATCAATACCTTCTACGGTGAATAAATCCCACATCCCCACTCAGTCATAAACTTGCATGTTGTTGAGCATTTCCGACAGTCTATTTTTCAAAATTTTCTTGGCGAGATCCCCAATGGACTCGCTACTTTGGCGTTCACAAGGGGAATTCGTTGAGGTTCGCAAGTCCGTTCGTTTGACATTTTGTTCTCTAGTTGGATAAACTAGTGATCAGGCGACGGACGGTATCTGGTCAGATCTATTTATCTCGACGATCGGTACCTGGGAAAACTGTAAGACAGCATTTCCGGCAGTCTATTTTTCAAAATTTTCTGGGGCAGGACTCCCTACGTTGACGCTCGTGAGTGGGCTTCGTCGTGATTCCCAAGTCCGTTCGTTTGACACTTTACCTCATCGATCAGTGCCTGAAATACTGCCAGGCTGCATTTCTGGCAACCTGTTTTTCAAAATTTTCTGGGGGAGGCCCCCTACCCCTAGTTGAAGCTCGTGCCTTTGCCCACTTAACCTTGGACTTTGCCCCAGCTTTGCCCCTCCAATCACCGACGGCTGGCGCCGCCACTGTGCAAAGGACCACAGTATTAAAAGCCTCTATCAAGTTAACGAACCAACGGCTGCCAGGCAGGATACGCCCACATTTTCGAGAGATGGATAGAGAACAAGCTAAAAAGAAAGTGATTTTTCCTACAATCAAGGGCCATAATTCAGGAAATTACAATTCGATATGCGCAAATATCAAAAGGAACCGAGATCTTTGTGTTATAAACTTACATTTCAAGTTTCAACAAAATCGGATAAAAATTGTGACCTCCATAGGATCCACAACCATTTTGTCTGTCAGTTTTGGGCTGATTTTCACGAAATTCGAACTCAGCCGTCCTTATGGTGTAACGGTGATATAATAATACGTTTTTTTTAAATTGGATAAAAATTATGACCTCTATAGGGTCCACAAGCTAAAAACGTGATTTTTCGTACAATCAGGGGCCATAATTCAGGAAGTTACAGTCCGATATGCGCGTATATGGTAAGGAACCGAGATCTTTGGGTTATAAACTTACATTTCAAGTTTCAACAAAATCGGATAAAAATTGTGACCTCTATAGGGTCCACAAGCTAAAAACGTGATTTTTCGTACAAACAGGGGCCATAATCCATGAAGTTTCGATCCGATACATGCCAATATCGAAAGCAGCCGAAATCTTTGGAGATAAACCTATATGTCAAGTTTCGTCAAAATCGGATAAGAATTGTGACCTGTAGAGTGTCCACAAACAATTGTGGACGGACGGACAGGGGCGACGACAATATACGTCCACACGAAAATGTGGACGTATAAAAATTGTTGAAGGACTGACGGATGTGGGCAACTTGTAAGTCCAAACTACGTGAAGGCGTATAAAAATAATCCAGGAAGGTTTTTGTCCTGTTTAGTTATCGTATACATACAAAATCTACTTACATTCAGATCAAGTATAGCTCTTTCCAATCTGTCTAAAGCTTTGGTTATTTCTGTTGTTTCAGTTTTAGCGAGAATAGCACAAATTGCTTTAACAGATTGATATACACCTTTGGTCTTAATATCCTCATTTCTTTCCTGAAAATACAATTATTACAAGACATTAACAGTTAAAGATAGGTTGCCAGGCAACGAAACATACGCCCACAACATCTTAGTCGTCCAAGCAGTCAACAAGAGTTGTCGCATATTTTTTCTATTGTCTATAATACACTAAAATCTGATTAAGAGTAACAACTCATTAAGTAATTATCATAGAATCATTAGAATTTGTTTGGCTTTTAGTTTTGCCCCATGCTAATGTTTAGTATACAAAACATTAATATCATGGATTTAGCTGTTCAAGTTATCAAAAATAGGTTGCCAGGCAACAAAACATACGCCGACAGCAGCTAATTGTCAGAGCGGTTGACAAGGGTTGTTGCATATTTATTCCTTTGTAGGTAATTGGGGGCCTTTACAACTAAGTCAGTTCCATACAGATCAAATTATACATTTTGTAGTTTGAGGGTTCACAAGGTTCTACAAACTGAAACAAAGGCCTCAACTCTGGAAGTAGTCTACAGAAATTGTTGAAATTTGACAGGCTTTTGTCATTCAAACGTTCACAAGGTTCACAAAGTAAAACAAGGGCCATAACTCTAGAAATTATTAATGGAAATTGCTGAAATTCAATAGACCTCTGTTTCACAAATTTAAATGATGCATATAAATTTCATACGTATCTGATGATAACTTTCATCAATCAAGCATTCACAAGGTTCAATAAAGTGAAACAAGGGCCATAACCTTAGATGTAATAAACGGAAATTGATGAAATTCAATAGACTTCTTCGTTTCACTAATTTAAATAATGCATATAAATTTCACAAATATTGGATGATCACTTTTGGCGTAATAGCGTCCACAAGGTTCAACAAAGTGAAACAAGGGCCATAACTCTAAACGTAATGAACAGAAATTATTGGAATTAAATAGGCTTCTTCATCTCCCAATGTGAACCACATATATCAATTTTAAAACAATCGGATAATAACTTTTGGAGTTAGCACGTTCAAAAAAAATTGTGGATGGCGGAAGGACGGGGGCACTGGCAATATACGTCCATATTTCCATGTGGGCTTACAAAAATGATTGAAAATCAATATACTTGTTCGGCTGAAGACCTTAAACGCTGTATCAATCTAAAGTCAATTGAAACGTTTATATATTGGCGAAAACACGGTGTATAAATATAAAATCAAATAGATAACTATTGTCTCAAACACATCCACAAGATTTTTCAAAGTGATCAAGGGCCATAACTCTGGCAGTAATTATTGGAAATCATTGAAAATCAATAGGCTTCTTCATCTCATGACCTTAAACACTGCATAAATTTATAAAGTCTATCGGATATAATTAACTTTAACCTCGAGAGTGTCCACAAGATTTTTCAAAGTGATTATCGGCCATAACTCTGGCAGTAATTATCGGAAATCGCTGAAAATCGATAGGCTTCTTCGTCTTATGACCTTAAAGACTGTGTATAAATTTAAAGTCGATCAGATATTAACTTTAGCCTCAAGAGCGTCCACAAGATTTTTCAGAGTGATCAAGGGCCATAATTCTGGCAGTAATTATTGGAAATCGTTGAAAATCAATAGACTTCTTCGTCGAATGACCTTAAACACTGTGTATAAATCTAAAGTCAATCGGATATTAACTTTAGCCTCGATGGTGACCACAAGCAATTGTGGAAGCTAGCCCAGGGATGGGATTTCGCCCGTATATTCCGGACTTGTCCGACGTTATTTTCCAAACGCCCAAAATTGTTCGACCAGGAATATGCCCAATCGGACATCCAGACATGGTGAATAATATTCAAAATTCCAAAATTAATGTAGTTTACTGAGTGTATAACTACCACTCAACCAGATTATCGTTGATAACACGCTGGATTGACTAGGTAATCAACATTTTTATCGTTTTATAGTCCAAACACCCACCTTGATAAACTAGTTAATCTGCCTCAATCCAATCCTGAACAGAAGTCATTACTTCTCCTCTGTCGGAATATGTATCAATCCAATAACAGTGATTATAAACTTAAGCTACGTGATTGACCCATGATTTCCACAGTGTCGGATGTTTTAATCTCCTTGATGTCGGCCGACAGCACGTAGAAATTAGTCACTCATGTCATATATCCTAATTGTACATAACACCCCAAATCAATATGTATCTGATAACTCGTCTGCGATATCACTTCGGTGGAAGTGTGCGTTAAATAAAGCTATTTCACACACACACATATCCGAAAAATACTAGACATTGCTAACTCTGTTTCTGATCGCACGCAGTTATAGCACTCGGCAAAACTCGGCAGATCTGTTACTCTACATCTAGCCTTGGCTGTATGACAGTAAGTGATATGTACCTACGCCTATACAATTGATTGCGGCACCGGTTTACTTATTAGGAAAACTTGCTGGTTTTAAAAAGAAGTTATAAACGTCGTTCGAAGCGTGTTTAGCATTTTCAGAGCAAAGTTGTCCTTGTTTGAAGAAAATCTGATAGACTTGAAAGAAAAACAGCTTCAGACTTTGAAATATTTGTATGAAAAAACTGGAATCTGCTGAGGTTTGTCGAGTGGCGGTTATAGTACGATAACTGAAATCTTGCGAGACGCGTGAAACTATGAAATGAATACGTGACAAATTTCATGTGTCTAATGTCAAAGAAAAGATTCTATTTTGATGGCATATTGTCGGATTTATGATTATATTTTGAATGGGGTTTATGTTTTTAAATAAAGAAATAAGTACGCTAGGCAATGTTGACGAATATGTCGATTGGAATAGTGTAAGTACTTAATTGTATTAGACGATAGTGCGTGCTAGAGTCGAATGCGATTATTTAGCAGATGGTGTCACTCGCTCGTTGAGGTAGAGCGACGTTTACTGCCAAATAAATTTCGGGATATCTTTTTTTACCCTCCGTATATAAGTCGAAACGGAGTATAAGACGAATGCCAGACTTCTGCTGAAAACTGTATCGTCTTATGACCCGAAAAATATGTTAATTTTGGAGGAATTTGAAACAGTACGGAACGGCAGTAGTCGGCACGCTTTCATTCTATCGTATTACGACATCACGTAGTTTTGGAGGAATATTACTGACATAAATTTGAATACCGTACAGGAATTAAATATGAAAAATACAGAGGTGCACCTATTTTTTATTACGTACGAATTTGAATATTTTGTCGAGACATGATTTTTGTGTGTGGTCTAAAAACTGCCTTCTTAAATAACGATAAGAGTTATGTCCCTTTATTTTCGGTAAAAATGTCCGACAAGAAAAATTTTGAAATCCCATCACTGCGCTGGACCGATGCACCGACAGATGGATGAGGGCGATGACAATATACGACCACATTTTAATGTGAATCCAAATAAATATAAAGAGAATAGGAATCCAAAACCATTTGAATAACAAAAACTTAGATGGGATCCAAGTCATAATAAACTTGATACGGTGACACCAGTAGTAGGAGTGGTTAAAAACAAAGTCTTGGCACACCTCTGAAGTCACGTCAGGGTAAAAAAAAGTCGACGGCATATTGTTTGCATGTTCATTAAACAAATACCCAAGGCTGTTCAGAAGTGAAAAAATGAAAATCTTCTATAGACTAAATTTGAAAATATGGCAAATAAAAGAAAAGAATATCTAAAGTTTACTTCTTCCACGATATAATTCTGACAGTCATTCTTGAAATTACTTGACAATTGAAGCAATATATAGAGAATCTCCTACCAGTCTTTTTTGATATCAAAAAATATCAACACAATTTGATAAAGTAAAAAAAAACGAGGCTCTGCCGAGTTTTTTTTACTTTATCAACGAGTGTTGATATTTTTTGATATAAAAAAAAACGAGTAGGAGATTTTATTTATCACCCAATCCCTTCTTACATGCACAAATAGATAAATATAATTCTTTGCTGTAGATTTAACTTTTACTGAACATTATGGCGTAGAGATACATCATTTTTTGACAGCAATTCAACCATTGCAATTCCTTTATATTGACCCAGTGTTTCCATCAAGGTCAATTGAATAACAATAGTTCATTTTTAATATTAAAAAAAGTTATTTTTAATAAGAAATGAACTGTTCTTTGAAAATAAAAAAAAGTAGTTCCTTTTCAGTAGATTATGAAATATATCACACAAACGATATCTACTGTAGAATGTATTATTGGGTGATAAAGTAAAATTCATATATACCATTTATCACAGACGAGACATAATGTGAAAATCGGATACTTCCGCCAAGTTTTGACGTCACTAGGAGTTCGGAAAGTATGATTGGCACCTTGTGAGTATACGCAGACATTATGGATTTTATCCAGCAAAGTGCAGACATAAGATTTATGACCAGGTGTATTAAAGTGTGGGGCTATGTGAGGTGATTTTCCAAACTTTTTCAATTTAATATTACTTCTATGCAGTGCTCACTCTGGGTTTCATTTTTTTTCCGCCAATTTTTCATTTTAATTTATTAGCCATATATTTTCTCCGCCATAATAAAGAACAAATATCTATAAGATTTTTTCAGTATTTTTTTTTTTTTTTTACATAAGTACACAAGTACATACAATATACATATGATATTACAATTTACAAATTCTTCTCTGTTTAGCAGAAGCCCATTTTTTTAAAGTTTTTTCAACATCTGGGTTAACCACTTTTCCATTACTTAGTAACATTAAATTACACAGTGTATTTGTTTTTAATGAATATCTGTACATCTGAAAATTTCAGTGTATTTGTTTTTAATGAATATCTGTATATCTGAAAATTTCCATTCATCGTTAAAAGATCTACCTTTTCAGAATGCGCTTAAACAAAAATGGATAATCGGGACTATTTTTTTTTATTGTACCGACTTTAGTAATGATGATCGAGGCTAGGCCTAAAATTCAAAAGCTAATATCTCAGTTCAGAGTGGAGCAATTTGACTGAAATTTCTAGCATATTTTATTCACGTAATCTATTTTTAACTATTATAGTGAGTACTGCCAGTTCTTTATCT